CAAAACATGCAATAACCGGGGGATCTGGGTGAACCACATATCCAAAATTCACCCAGATCCGTTCAGTACTTTGGAAGATACAGTTTAATGCAGATTCCACAGAACATATGCAGGCTAAATGAAAAACAATTACTGTATAATGTGTCCCCTGTTGTATAGTCCAAAACCACTGCACGATGTCTCTGTGCACCAAATACCGGCGAGATGACACCGTGTTGAAAAGTCCAAACAGTGTCTGTGAGTTAAAATGGCCGCCATCCATTGTTCTCACCATGTGCTTCATCCATTGTTCTTACCATGTGCCTCTGATACATGAAATGGTGGCCACCCAGTAACTCCACAGTATGTCCCCAGATGGTTCTTAAAGGGCCAGCAGCAGCACAACACAAATCCATTATGCCCAAATCATGTCTTTAAAGGGCAATACATCCCAGGGGCCATAGTCACATGGCAGGAGGCTGGCAATCAGTCTTCTCCAATGCCCAGTGGCGAGGTCGGTTTCGCCACAATAGGCAACACAATTAGGAAAAAACAATTAAGGAAATAAACAATTAAGGAAATAAACTCACCCAAGGTGACTTGCCTGACCGATGGCATCTAGTCGACCTCTGTGCGCATGTGAGACCAAAGAACCGCCTCCGGAAGGATGTGCACGTTGGGCTTATGGTAACTACGGTTACCGTTAGTGCTGTGTATACCTAACAGTAATAAGTGATGTGCGCATGTGTAGCCCGTCCTTACTACTTACAAGTGATGTGCGCATGTGTAGCTCGTCCTTACTACTGGATAGGGAGCTTACTGCATGAATACATGTTACCGGCGATTGTTGTCATGGCAACAATGTCATGGCAACCTAACAGGCCATGTAGAATGTAAACAATAATCTCAAATACTAGAATAAAGTGCTGTGCTGGTGGTGTAATGAATATTGTAGGCTCATAATTAACCATAAAGGCTAATGATGCAAGTTAACTTGCGATCATAAAAAAAGAAAGGAGTGTAGTTTAAATGGATGAATTTAAAGTGACATGGTGCATAACTTCATAATCTAAAGTAGAATAAATGTTACAATGTAGAGTGAGTAGAATATACATAATGTTTAAATGTTTGGTGATAAAGTTAAAGGGAAAAAGGACTGCCTTAGTTCAAATGTGATGAGAGTGTCTTAACCCCAAAACGATAAGTGTTAAAAAAGAGCTTAGGGGGCGGGGCCCGACCCCCATGCTGACCGGTCGCAGGTTGGAGAGGCTCCTGACAAAATTGGGTCTCCTTTGGCACAAAATCCAAGCAATACAGCAATACTAGTGCCCAAAAGTTCTCAGGTATCCGGGCAGTTGCTGGAGCCACCGCGGTCCCCGAGATCGGGAGTTTCGGAGTCCCTGTGGGCGATATGAGGCTTCAGGGTCTGTGGCCTATGAGGGTGAAGAGCGGTCCTGTTTGCAAACCTGTCTGCCATGCAACGGCCGTGCGATGCGCCTCGCGGGTCCCGCTTCCCCCCCATGGACCTGGGGGTTATCCCGGTCCCCACTGGAGGAAAATACCACCTTCCACCGGCCCACCACCATCTAGCCTACCTGGCACTGTGCATCATGTGCCTGGGCACCAAAATGGCGGCAATGCGACCAATACCGTGCAACATAGCTTCGCCTGCCCGCATGCGGAAACAACAGCTTGCTGAGCATAACTCCTACCTACGAATCACAAGCCTGAACACAAGTGATGTCCCATCTTGGAAGTCCCTGTCTACCTACTCACGAATGAGGCTTGGCTGCCGCGATTGCCCTCCAGGGCCTTAAGATTAGCTTGTACAGGATCCCCACTGATGGCCACGAGGAACCAGCAGCGGCAGGGTACCCAGAGCACACAGCACGGAGGGGGCTTCTAATCCCACAGCGGATCTGCCTGCGTGGATACCCCATCAATATCAGGCTGCCAGACCAGATGACCCACCTTGCAGGGCACCAGTGGACTATACCAGACACCTTGACTTACCTGGCTGACTATGTTTTATGTTATGTTGCCATCTATTTTTGTTTTAACCCTTTTTTGCCATGATAGGCATATGCATATTGAGTCACTCATAATCTTGCTGCCACTTAACAAAATATCTACAATTATTAGCTAATGTTGTGCTAATATCTAAACTCTGTAGATTATGTTTATAACCGTGCCTAGCGTGAACAAACGTATTATTACATGAATAGTCAGTCTGGGGAGCCTACCCGTTTTCTCTACTTCCATTTCCTCCTCTAAAACTTGTGTCCTACTCAAAATGTCTGTTAGAGCACACTACATTCTACACCTTTTCTACCAGAATAGACCTTTTCTTGCAGTTTACAATACAAAAATGTGCTGTTTAACCGAATGCCATGACTATGCATGACTTTAGTTCACACTGATGCTGAACTAAAAAATTAAATAAAAAGTTAAAATTAATACAAATGCTTAAGCAGTGCCATTTATATATAGTTTAGATCCAGATCACACAAAGTAAACTAATACAAATTTTTTTCTTATTGGTGCTTTGTATGTGAATCATTTACTATCTTTGCTTATGGCTAACTCTGCTCTGTTGTGCATGAGTACTAAAAGGTGTCTCTACCAGCTAGAAAAAAAATTGTAATTCAATGACAAATTGTTTTTTTTACCCGTATCATAACATTATAGCCCGGGAGACCCTTAAAGGACCACTATAGTGCCAGGAAAACATACTCGTTTTCCTGGCACTATAGTGCCCTGAGGGTGCCCCCACCCTCAGGGACCTCCTCCCGTCCGGCTCTGGAAGGGGGAAAGGGATAAAAACTTACCTTTTCCAGCGCTGGGCGGGGAGCTCTCCTCCTCCGATCCTCCTCTTCGCCTCCCATGCGGCTGAATGCGCACGCGCGGCAAGAGCTGCGCGCGCATTCAGCCGGTCACATAGGAAAGCATTATCAATGCTTTCCTATGGACGCTTGCGTGCTCTCACTGTGATTTTCACAGTGAGAAGCACGCAAGCACCTCTAGCGGCTGTCAGTGAGACAGCCGCTAGAGGAATTGGAGGAAGGCTTAACCCATTCATAAACATAGCAGTTTCTCTGAAACTGCTATGTTTATAAAAGAATGGGTTAAGCCTAGCTATAAAAATCATTAAGTTACAAAATTACAAGAAAGCATGTAAAGATAGTTTCTCATTATGGCACTTTGGGGATACAGTATCCAATTCATGTATCCAATATGCTTCTTTTTGTAAAAGCTTCTTGCCTCGGTCTCCACCTATCTTGGGGGCTGGGGTATGATCAATCCCTACAAATTTCAAAGCTGTCAATGGATGCTTATATACCAAAAAGTGTTTTGCCACAGGCTTATTTGATGTTAAGTCCCTGTATGCCAGTCTGATACTGGACCAATGTCCTCTAATGCGTTCATAGAGCGCTGTTTCTGTCTTTCGTATATACATCAACCCACATGGACACGAGAATTTGTAGCTAACAAAAGGGGTCTTGCATGTAATTGTATATCTTAGTTGATATTTCTTGTTGGTATGGGGATGGTTAAAGAAACGAGCTAGCACCATATGACCACATGTTACACATCCCAAGCAATGAACTGACCCTCAGTTTTGGCCTGCCGTATTTGGGGTGTAGCTCCTAACGGGATCTCTGTGTACTAGTAGATCTTTCAAATTTCTGTTTCTTTTGTAGCATATTAGAGGGGGTTCTTTAAACACTTTAGGGAGGGTGTCATCACTTGGTATCATTTTCCAATTCCTTTTGATTGTAGAAGAAATGAATGGAGCAGATTGAAATTGCATAGGAAATACTAATCTTGCCTTCTCACTTGCGCGTGCATGCCTTGCTTCTTGAAGCGCCTTTTGTAAGATTTGGTGTGGATAACCTCTTTCCAAAAACTTGGTTTTCATCATCTGTAGTAGGGATCGACCGATTATCGGTCTGGCCGATATTATCGGCCGATATTTGGTATTTTCGGCAATATCGGTATCGGCCAATTCAGATACCGATATTGCCGATAATATATAACAGGACCGCCGGGCCCATTAGAAGCCCGGCGGTCCTGTGGGGGCCAGCAGCAAGCGCTGACTTACCTTGCAAGCAGCTCCTCCAGCTCCCTGTGTAAATCTCGCGAGACCCGCGGCCGCAGAGCGTTGCCACGGGTTACCATGGCAACGCTCCGCGCGGCACTAAGAGCCGCGAGATTTACACAGGGAGCTGTAGGAGCTGCTTGCAAGGTAAGTCAGCGCTTGCTGCTGCTGAGCCACCACTGTACTTAACAAGCCACTGGACCACTAGGGGATACTATATCCCCCTCCCTGGTAAGAAGCAGGGAGGGGGGACTAAACAAAAAACACCCAAACATTTAAATATTAAAAAAAATATTAAAATAAAAAATTACACAAATTACATCACTACACAAACACACACACACACACACTGCACACATACTGCTACTCAGACACACACACTGCATTACACACACACACACTACACAAACACACACTAGGGGGGGGACTAAACAAAAAACAACAACATTTAAATATTAAAAAAAATATTAAAATAAAAAATTACACAAATTACATCACTACACAAACACACACACACACACTGCACACATACTGCATTACATACACACTACACATACACACACTACACAGACACACACACTACACACCACACAAACACACACACCACACAAACACACACCACACAAACACACACTGCACACATACTGCATTACAGACACACACACTGCACACACTACACTGCATTACATACACACACACTACACAAACACACTGTACACACACTGCATTACATACACACTACATTACATACACACTACATAAACACACACTGCATTACATACACACATAACATACATACACACTACACAAAAACACTGCATTATACACACACTACATTCATTATACACACACCACACAAACACACACTGCACACATACTGCATTACAGACACACACACTGCACACACTACACTGCACACACTACACACACACTACACAAACACACTGCACACATACTGCATTACATACACACACACTGCATTACATACACACTACATTACATACACACTACATAAACACACACTGCATTACATACACACATTACATACATACACATACACACTACACAAAAACACTGCATTATACACACTACATTCATTATACACACACACCACACAAACACACACACCACACAAACACACACTGCACACATACTGCATTACAGACACACTACACTGCACATACTACACTGCATTACATACAAACACACTGCACACACACTGCATTACATACATACACACTACATTACATACACACTACACAAACACACACTGCATTACATACACACATTACATACATACACACTACACAAACACACACAAAAACACTGCATTATACACACACTACATTCATTATACACACACTACACAAACACACACTCTGCATCCACTACACACACACACACACACTACACAAACACACACAGTTCCCCTGTCTAAACACACTTCATCCACTACATGTGGCATGTATATTTTGTGCATTTACCTTTCGAATTAGTTTATTTATTCAAAATAGTAAATGTACAGAATATCGGCAAGATATCGGCTATCGGCCTGAAAGTTTGCAGATTATCGGTATCGGCTCTAAAAAATCAATATCGGTCGATCCCTAATCTGTAGTTGTTGTTTCATTACTTCTGGGTTCGAATTGTTTCTGATAACACGCAAGAACTGCGCTTTGGGTAGAGAATTTTTGAGTGCTCTAGGATGTGCACTCTGATAATGTCATAATGTATTCCGGTCCATAGGCTTGGTGAATAAACCATATTCCAGACTACCGTCACCTATAGAAATTGAGAGATCTAAAAATTGTACCTGTACTGTACTGATATTGGCAGTCATTCTGATCGGTGAGGCCAACTGCAAAAAGATGAGTCCTGCGCATTTAGTTGCTCCAATGGCCATTGAAAGGAATGCCCGCCTGCCAATGTCAAGGCAGGCCCCCCTAAAGCGGGTCCTAACACTGACCCTTTAGCCTGCTTCCTTGAGCTTCTGGCAAAGATATCTCTAATGAGACAGAGGGGTATTTTTTATATACACCCCTATATACTTATTAACCCTTAATAGGGAACACATGGGATGGGCGGCAGCATTGTAACAAGGCTTTGTGATACAAAGTAAATACAAATACAAAAAGATGAGTCCTGCGCTCACTCCCATCACCACTGGGCCGACAGCAATGACTACAATACACATCAGCCCCAATATATAGTAAAAACCAGAGAAAATAAAAAGTTACCTGCGCTCTCTCCTTAATCCCAATGTATATCTAGAAAAATGGAGGCCATTTAGTTGCACCAATGGCCATTGGAGGGAATGCCCGCCTGCCAACATCTAGGCAGACCCCCCTAAAGCGGGTCCTAACACTGACCCTTCAGCCTGCTTCCTTGAGCTTCTGGCAAAGATATCTCTAATGAGACAGAGGGGTATTTTTTATATACACCCCTATATACTTATTAACCCTTAATAGGGAACACATGGGATGGGCGGCAGCATTGTAACAAGGCTGTGTGATACAAAGTAAATACAAGATGAGTCCTGCGCTCACTCTCATCACCACTGGGCCGGCAGCAATGACTACAATACAGTTGGTTTAACTGCACTACCATCTGTTGTGCTGTTTCTAAAGTGACGTTCCATACTATCAGTAAATCATCTATATACCGGTAGTAGCCTTGAATATATTCCGTATACTTGGACAGAATGTGCTCTTCTTCATACACGTACATGTACGCGTTAGCGTACATTGGAGCCATTGCCGCTCCCATAGAAGTGCCCACTATTTGTAAATATCATAGATCCTCAAATCGGAAATAGTTGTTCTGCAATGTAAGCATTAATAGTTCCAGGACAAATTCAGTTGGCAGGACTGTGTATGAGGTAGATTGTGTCAGTACATGGCACATTGCACTTGCTCTTTCTTCATGAGGGATCAACGTATATAAACTGCGGACGTCCATTGTAATGAGAACCGGTCTATTCTCTTTTTTTTTTTGGTAAATAGCCTTTTATTGAAGGTTTTCACATATCGGTCTATTCTCTTTGATGTCCAAAAGAGATTGTGTATCTTTAATGCATGTGTGGAGTTCTGCGACAGGTGCTTGAAATAGGTGGTCCAGCCATTTGGCTATTGGCTCAAGAAGTCCATCTATGGCTGACACTATCGGGCGTCCAGGAGGTTTCTGTTGGTTCTTATAAATTTTGGGTATAGTATAAATGATTGGTGTGCTTGGGTGACTTTTTTTAAGGTATTGGTACAGCTTTAAGTCGATATAGCTCGCATGTAATCCCATATTAAGAAATATTTTATTTTGAATAATCCTGATGGGGTCTTGTTGGAGGAGACTATAGGTATTATTTTTAAATAAAATTGTATGTAAATAAGTAAAAATAAATTTAAAAATATTTTAAAATTGCCAAAATCATGTGGATACTCTCATTTCACTCTTGCAATTATTTGGTAGTTAGAAGAAATTGCAGCTACTCTCATGAACACTATATGTCACTATGCAAGCAAGCCTCACTTCAATCAAAAGTCAAATCCCTGCTCTTGTGAGAACAACAGGACACTACATGAAGCATTTATGAAAATAAATTAGGTATTGCACTTAAATCAATATGCCAAGTCAGTTTAAATGAAAAAAAAATCTCAGGCATTCACTGTGATTTCTTCAAGGCAGTTGATTGCAACGTTTTAACCTGAAACCAGGTCTTTATCAAGCTTAAGGCAGTTTAAGGCAGCTTAGCACAAAGGGAGAGAAGAATGGGAGAATACTGAAGGAGAGAGGAGTAAAAGAATACAGGGAGAAAAGATGAGTAAAGAATACTGAAGGAGAGAGGAGTAAAAGAATACAGGGAGGAAAGAGGAGTAAAGGAATCCTGGCAGTAGAGAAATGTTAATGAATGCAGGGAGGAGAGAGGAATGAAGGAATACTGGGCTGCGAGGAATTCTTACCTTAAATGACGCTGGGCGGGCTGACGTTGGGTGAGCTTACACAGGACATACATGCATAAGTGTGTAGCAATCTCGCGACCTTCCGGGAACAGCAGGAAGCGGCAGCCATCTTGGATGGGGCAATTCACGGCAGAACCCCAATTTTGTTCCACGGAACGCCAATTGGGAAATGCTGCTCTAGATCATTAACACAATAACTTTTCATCTACAGCTTAAAGGGTTATTCCCAGCAGTGATTTGAAGTTGTCATGGTGCTTGGAGTCTGTATGCGTAGGTCTGGACACCCAGATAGATTAGCTATAGTCTGCAGTGCACGAAGTAAGATGAATTGGTGTGAAGGAACTTAATTGGTTGCACAGAGATATTTTAATGCAGTCTGGAACATTATGAAATGCTAATAAACATAATTTGGTGACAGAGCCGCATAAATTCAGTGCAATCTGCAATAAGTTCTTTCAGCCACTGGATGGAGCTCTGACACGAGAAACAAATGTTAACTTGTCATCAAAAGGGTGATTTACTTTTCTGAATTTTCAAAAGTCTTAGTTTAAAAATGTTATGCATTTATTTCTTAAAAACAAAATGTATGGAAATTTGATTATTATTCAAATATGTGCATATTTAATTAAGGTCGAGTTAGTTGAATCATAACAATAACTTTAATGTGGCTATTTGTTAAAAAGCTAAATTGTAAATGTATTGACCAAAAATGCAGGGCATATTTAGGGATTTGTGCTTGTTTTGTTCCTTCCTGCAGTTACATAATAGATAGTATTTCTGAACTGTATTATTAAGTGTTTTTGCATAGCAAGACCACTTAATGTTATCTCACATATATATTATTCTTATTATAGCCAAATTTACCACCCGAACTCCTCCCACAGTTTTTACACTACAAAGAAAGTAATATTTCGAAACGTGCGGATTGTTCCCGATCGGATTGCTATTACTTTGGGGAATGTTTCCCCGAATGGTTCACGGAATATCGTCGTCCTTGTGGCGAAATTGGTCCCATAGGAATGAATGGAAAAATGTTCACAACTAGAGTGGGAGCTGGCAAAAGCTGACAAATCAGGACATGATTTCTTAACTGCCACCACTCCCTCATTTTCAAGCCTACCTACACAAATCTTATATCAAAATGTTTAGCTATCCCTGCTGCCACTAAAAATGTCCACAGCTAAGCCATAGTTTTTACAATATGACCATTTGTTTGCAACTCACGCCGTCCATTGACATTCATTGAAACTTCACTCTAGCCAGCTCAAACTTGAAGGGCAATTTCTAAACTGCGACTGTGCCTTCATTTTTAATACTTCAGAGACATACTATGCATCAAAAGGTCTGGGTCTTGCGATTTTCACAATATAAAGCTCTTTGCTGTAGGATGTATAGTTTTTAAAATATGACCATTTGAAGATGGCAACCTCCAAAATACTCTGACCTGTGCCAGGCTGGAGCAGCAAGTGATGTCATAGACAGGGCCTTTTGTACACCTGCTAATGTTTTTATAAATGTATGGTTTAATGTAACTGTGAAGCACTTTGGGCAACAATGTTGCAATTAAATGTGCTATATAAATAAATAATAACAGTTACTCCGCCCACTCCAGTTGTAGACTACTGGTGGAGGCAAGAACACTTCACACAATTTCCCCAGAAATTGTAGCTTTCTAATTTCAATATGTATTGATACATGTCAGCTACATTTTTCTTTATGACAAGAGCGGCTTTTTTCTTGGATTAGAGATCTAGATAGTGGAAATTAGCCTGAATCATTATTCATATTGTGCATATCCTTGCAAATTACGCACCTCCTTCCTTAAAGGATAATTGTCATACAATTTTTACTATTAAGTTTTTTAATGTTTTTTTTTACATTTAATGAAACCTAACGATCATTTTTAAATTATGTATGCTTATTTTTCACTGTTTATGAGACTGAGCAGCCATGTAGGATCAGAATATACTTTTATTTGATCATCTCCTGGGTAACCTAACGTGATTTTTCTATATGAAACTGTTGCATCTGGTTGGTTAGGTCAGTTATGTTGAGCAGCTATTGTTCGGATAACAGCAGAGTCTGACCACCAAGGTTGCTTAGTCAAATAAAACAGTGACATTTTCTAAAAATAAAAAATAAAAAGTTTTTTTTTACTTCTTAAAAAAATATAATTGTTTCATT